CGTGTGGGGTGATAATTGGAGCACAAATCAATCCCAAATCATCCTGGTGAAGCTACTAATTTGGAAAATGCCTGACCTTGGTTTTCCACAGCCGCCTGGTCGAGGCAACGTAACGGGGGACTGAAGCTGCGAGGCGCGCGGCCCGTCTTTCGCCAATCTGCAACAAAATGTCGGCTGAGCCGGTCCAGAGGGCCTCGTGGCCCGAGTCCCAACCCGGAGGACCAGGAAGAGGACGAAAAGCCCACTGGGCCCCTGGCCGACGGCTAGAGAGGCTCTTTGATTTCAAAGGGTGACGGGCCAGGAAAATAAAAAGGGAGGGGAGGGAGAGAGAGAGAGAAAAGTGGGAGAAGGAAAAAGAAAGCTCCGGTTAAAAAGAAACATTCTATCACACGCGCGCGCGCAATGGCCTCATCCTGCTTTTTACTTTGTCGGTTCTTCTGAGAACCAAAGGAAACATGACGACTCAAAGCGCCGGATTTACAAGAATGCAAGTCGCCGTCGTCTCTGCCCACTTCTTTAAATATCACTGACCGTATTGATTTAAGATTTTATATCTGCGACGATGGTTCGAATTCTGTGTGTCCCTGAGCAAGACACACAACCCCTAATAGCTCCCTGGACAAAATGTAAAAAAGCAAACAAACATGGGTTAAAATTGCAGTGTAAGTCGTTTTGGATAAAAAGCGTCAGCTAAATGGCATGTAATGTAATATCTGTGGTTTTTTTATGACTTTTAAGGAAAGTTATGGAAAATCCCAATTTGACCTAATTGGCTCCCATTGTGATCCTCCCTTTGAATAGCATCTGTCATGCAGTGACATCATACTATTTGTCGTTCAGTCAAACTTTAACACACAAAAGCACAAAATTAACCAAAAAAAACACCAGTAAGCCAGAACAACCTGAATGCAATAATCAAGGGCCAGGACTGGTAATCAATCTTCAGACCATCTGAAGCTGACCAACTGGCTTAGTCCAACAAATTCCACTTTTGGTTAATTGGACAAGACAATTGGGCGGTAACGATCAGATCTTCTTAGTTTATAATGTGAAGCAGCTTCCTGGTTGTTATTTCAAATAACGTTTTTCTCATCCAGTCCCTAGAGGGAAGCAGGAGGGCAGCATCTGCCTTTCTGCTCAACTTTCTTAAATCTCCGGAACCATATTCCCCTCCGATATTCATGGAGCATTCAGGGAGGTTCCACAGTTTATTACACCGGCAGAAAACACACACATCTGTCCAAAGCCCCTCTCGACTCACCCTGAACATCAAGGAACGAGACAATTTAGCCCCGATCAAGTCAGGCAGAAAACTGTCCCCTTTGACCTCGTCTTAAACCTCACACAACATCTCATTCAGTAAACCCCCCCCCAAAAAGATGACTGTAGTCCTTTTTGTTTCTCCAGGATGACCTCTGACATGAGGCTGCACTTCGTTTAATGCAGTTGCATCGACTGCGCTGCGACATCTGATGCAGTGATTTCCGTAAGAAATCCCAAACCGATAATCTTCTGGTGTGGCTTTCCAGAGGGGGCATGAGGGTAATTTGTGAAAAGGAAGCACTTAATCCGATCTGTGTTACAGTTTTATTGCTGATTTCTTTTAGCACCGATATCCAAGGCAGCTTAAAGCCGTTGTTAACTAAACAACCCCCGCCCATAATTAAATGAGATAATTTCGGCTGTGACGAACGCATGGTGGACGGATCGCCAGTGCTATGACAGCCAAATGTGCTCGAGTGGAAGTACACGTCTTAAATAACGTCCATGTGACCCACTTCTATTACCCAGCCGACAGCAATTCATTCATACAAGCTGGGAGAGACCTTGGCCCAAGCACGTTGCGCTCATCCTGCTCAATCTCAAACCCTTTCCCTTCGCTGCGTGAAAGGCCTGTTTCGTGCACGCCGCCCGATCTGCTCCGGAACCCGACGCAGGTCTTCTGTAACATTCCTCCACAGCGAAAGATGTCATGTTCAATGAAAGAAATACGAGATTACAAAAAGCACATTTCAACTTTTATGAAGTGGTTCTCTGCCAATTGAACCTCCCTTTACTCCCTCACCCCCCCCCCCCCCCCCTCCCCCAAGTCCTCCCTGGTGGCCAGTCTGAAAAATGTTAGTATTATGTTAGCCGCCGGGTAAATGGGAAAGAGAGCCGAGCGCTTCGATACAAATGGCGAAAAGGTAGCGGGCGAAGTGATTGACGTCCCTTGTTGGCGCTCTCCATTGAAAGTCATCACGGGGGCCGATTCACACGGATCACTTAAAATTCTGGAAGTGAGGCTGAGAATACTCAGTCGATACTTGCTTATAATGAGAGCCCCCGCACACCGGGTGTAATGATACGGTTGGGCTTTATAACGGCGAAACACTCGAACCCCGTCGCCGTCACTCGACCGCTCAGCGGCGACGAGGCAGTCACTCTCAAACTGAACGGATGCAAATGCGTCTCCGTTGGGCCGCTAACGCTGACAGCTTGATAGAATTCATTAGAATCCATCAAAAGTTCCGTAGTTTGATGACATTGGTCCGCAGTGATGCACCAAAGGTTGTCTAGGAAACGATGCAATTAAAAGCAATAATTACCTGGAAAGAAGTCAAACCCACCTTCTGCTTCTTTGTCAAACACGCACTCGCATCCAAGTTGTTTGCGTCAATGCAATCACAAGACTTGATTGTTATTGTTACGTTGACCCTCGGCTTTGCATGAAACTGTGTAATGCAGTTACATTTCTGCTCTGCGTTTGAAAGACGATAGGAGTGGCTCGGTTGTCATGCCAGGCTTTTCAAAAGGCTCTTTGTGTAGAAGCGTCGGTCATAGCCAGAGATCCTCCCGGTGTTTCCTCTACGGTTCCTACGGCAAATGCATCAGATTGGGCGACGTTAAGGCGTTCAGGTGGCTGCCACACACATCTTCAGTCATTCTCCTCCCCCCGGGGGGTATTTTTACAGTTATAGATTGTGGAGTAGCTAAAAAAACTTCTTCTAATCCTTGCAGATCTAAATTTCAAAGGCAATATCACAGTATAAGCAAGATCCCATGGATAACGATGCAGCCGAATGCATTCTGCTTTTACTTTTACTTTACCGCTGTAAATCTGACGGAAATAAAGATTTAATCGTTTGGTCTCCATGTTTTGGCAGAAATCAGATTTTAAGCAACAATTAGCATCATATCTCCAAATGAGCAACGATGGAAGGTTATTTAAATAGACGCACAGAGATCGATGGGGGCGTCACATTAGTTAGGCCCTCCATCATACATGACAACTACTGAACACATAACGTTAGCTTGTTCATGTACAGAATTAGCTATTTCAGCTACCGTTAAGGCTGACCTGTTTGACTAGTACTTCTGCTAACTAATTAACACCTTACTAATTGCTGCTGTGCATTTGCTAATCTACAAATACCTGCATTTATCAACGTGCTGGACGGACCTAATGGATAAATACTTACTGTTTAAGGTAACGTATAAACACTCGAAATAATCAGCGAGCTAGCGGTAATTTACTGTTAGCATGTTTAGCAGGAGATTAGTAAGCTACACGTAGTGGATAATACATTTATATAGCCTTGCTTAAGCCTTGTTTAACAGCTGATGTAGGTAGCTAAAAGTAATGTATTTAGTTAAAATAGATAAAGACAATTGAATAAATGGATGAAATAGGTAGCTAGCTAACAGCGAGGCATAAAGCTTTTGAAATTGTCTGTTTAAGGTAATGTCTGTTTGATGTAGTTCGTTAAAAGTAATTGATACATGTTAAAATAAAATAGCTAAAACCAATCTAGTCTAATACAAGTCCTGCAATGCATTCCATCTGAAGGTTATAATGTTTTTATTTTGCTTGTCGTATTGAGGCCGCGGTAGAGGAACGGCTGAGCAGCGGGTCGGCTCACACGGGTCACTGAGCAGCAGGGCTCAGAGTTGTCCGTACGTGACCTTGTGACCTTCAACTGGCCCTGACAGCAAGTCAGCCTGCCGATGGGGGGGGGGGGGAGATGCAGCTTCCTAATAGATTTCTCATGGTTTGCAAGCTGAGGTGTATTAAGTGGCGGCGCTCAGCCCAAGTCGCTCGCTGTCGACTCGGAGAGACAAAGAACTCTGTCTCTTCAAAGTGTCCATTCATTAAACTCAAGTTTCAGCGGTAGAAAAAGAAAGTCCTCTTTGAGATGTTTGCATAGCTCAGCTTCGGCCGAGGAGACAATAAATGGGCAGACTGCTACAGCTCTTGCTCCCGGCTCTTGTGTGTTTTGGATGGCGGCGCCGCGAGTGGTTGTGGAGCTCCGGGACCATCATGAGAGACAGGCGTGCATCTTTGTGGGTTTGATGAGAGGAGAGGGACCGAGCTCACTCTTTTGGGGTCGTTTGAGATCTTACGGGCGAAGAGAAATGTTATGTTTCCAGACGGGAAAGTGATGATGCAGCGTGGATGAGAGGGGGAGATGGGACGTGTTACATAACATGTTTTCTTAAGTTTTGAGGCCTCTGTGCTTCTTATAACTTCTACTGCTCGATCAAAGCATTTATGTAAGCCTTTAAGTTGCCAGGATTCACGTTTTTATCCTGTAAAGTTGTACCGCATCCCTGTAAATTGAATTGCCTCACAATGTGCCTCTGGGCCATAAATAAAACCCAAACCTAGTTAATTAAGTTAATTTATTTAATTAAGTTAATTCAAATCATCATGAAAGAGACTGCGCTCGCATCGCGAGTCATCCATCCAACGTTCTTGGAGGAGTTTCATGATATTGAGGTGGCCTGAAATTGAAATTGAAATTGACATTGAAATTGAAATGGAAGGTGTCGATGAACGCGCGGTAACATCATGTAACTTGGCGCAGGAAGTGCGCGCAGGGCACGTGGAGCCAGTGAAGCAACAACACGGAGGGGGGGGGGGGTGTTGGGAAGGGGGGGGGGGGGAGGTGTTTTTTGTGGGGGGGGGGGAGTTTCCTCTTGCGAAGCGCATTCAATCCCCACACAAACATCCCCGGTGCCTTCAGATCCAAGGAGCGGGTGATGTTCACGGGAGCAGCTGTGACTCGGAGGACCGGAGCGCAGCCTCAGCAGCCCCGCGCGCAGCTCTCTGTGCGCGCTACAACTTTCTCGTTTTAACATAAACCGAAACAGATGGAATAATGTTTGCTTAAAAAAAAAATATATATATATATATATCCGCTCTCTCCAGCGCTGGACGAAGTGCTTTGGAGTTCCTCGCTTGGGACTGTAGCTCGTTTCAGGTGCTGATTTGACAACCTGAAGACCTTCTGCGCGGAGTCTCACCTGGGCACGATGAGGAGCCACCCGGGGTTTGTTTCGTCATCGGGACAGAGTGCCGTCTTGCTGAAGTTGTGTAGCTGAAATCCCGGACTTTTTATTTTAGTTTGCTCGCAATATTCTAGTGGCTCTCCGGAAAGCAGACCGCGCGATCTTGCGCCTTTTACGCGCTACTTTCAAAACGTCGCAACCGTCCATAATGGACCGCGTAAGATTCGCCGTTCTGCTGGTTCTGACCGTCGCTCTGCTGCCAACGTGTGACGGCCACAGGGACGCGGCAGGTGGGAGGAAAGGGGCCGCGGGGCGGGCGAGGACTCAAGGTCACTCGCCAAGGAGACCGAGGGACGCCGCATCCTCTGGACCGACCGGGGACGCGTCTCCTGGCGCCGACGGGTTTAGGACTCTGGTCCGCGCGCCCAGGGCCACATCGCCCCGAGGGGCCAGCGGGCACGTATCCAACGCGGGGCCGGTCCGCGCCGCAGGCGCCGCCCGGGAAGACGTCCTCTCCTCGCCGCGGGGTGCTGCGCGGCGCGCCGCCAGACACCCGAGCGGCCCGCAGCACCGAACCGGGGCGAACCGCCGGCAGGGCAGCAAGCCCAACTCTGCCAGCACCAGGAGACTCGTCGGGTAAGAGTGGCAGACAAGTCTACTGCAAACATGGTTTAACTTTGCTTTATGGGCTCTTACTTTGAAGGGATTTATGTGAAGTATTTTTACTGTACACCATATAGTCCATGTGGTTACTGTTAAGTGGAGGCCCACTTTCTGTAGGACAAACCAAGTAATGATGTGATGATCAAGACTGAAGTTGAATAACAACTTTATATTAATAATATATGTATTTTGAGTCGTGGAAGGAGATGGACACGTTAGCTGAGGTGACCACTGAGCTGATAGCGGAGGTTAAATTATAAAGCGTGTGTGTTGGCGTTGGACTCTTTAGAGACTAATGCAACACTGTCACCATTTCCTTGTGTTTCACTGCAGTGCATTTAAACCAGAGCCGAGTAGCAGCAGACTAGGCTTCCATGGCGTGTGCCCTAGTTCTGTGCTGTTGCCTGTGGCCGTGTGTTGGAGTGGTTCAACCAGAACCTTGGCTACAGGAGAACATTTGAGAATTTTCTTAGTGATCACAAACACCTGTTTCTCCAACGGCACTCTCTCAAAGCAGTTTTTATTTTTGTCTCCGGTAAACTCCAAACAGGAGGATGGATTGTTTCCACATTAAAATCCCTTTTCTTTTGGCTAATCGAACCCTCGTGCACACAGTCCTGTTTGTTCCATTGGGACAACGCACGATACGCACATAATAATCAAAGGGAGATTTAAATCCCTCACTGTGGATCGCAGTCAATAATATTTTTTATTTGATGCTTGATCAAGGCTGTGGCATTTGCAAAATGGATCATTTATAAGGGCAGTTCTTGGGAAACACTAACGGGGGGGGGACCCAAAGCATGATAACACCAAAGACAAATGATGGTGGAGATCAGTACTTGGATATATCTGCACTGTCCATGATGTATTATATCGTGCACCATCAATATGACCTCATTCATCCCACCTTATAAGTAACGTTTCTTATAACATCAGCCAGCCAGGCAGTTGTGCTCCCTGCTGGGTGCATTGAGGGGCTTTCTATTTCTATCTAGTGCATAAAGAAAATTGCTGCCTATAGTATTGGAGCCATCGTGCTTTATTGCCTTTCTAGGCGATGCCAAAAAAAACAAATCCCAGAGTCGAATGAACGTTTTTTTTTTTGTTGTTGTTGTAAAGCATTAACTTAAAGTAGTCTGCACCGGGGGGGTTTTATCGCTTTGATTCATTAGCTTCAGATGAATCATCCGCCGCCTGTTGGAGAAAGTGCGTTCATGACACATTTCCCGCTCGGCGTGTTCCTCTCTGTGCCCCGGAGGCACTGGGTTCGCTCTCCTTTCCGTCCCCCCGTTGACTCAGTATGACTCGCCTTCTGTTTTCAGTGCACCTGTCAGACATTTCTCTCATTCAGATAAAATACTCCACCGACCTCATGTTCTGCTTTACGAAAGAGAAATATAAGCAAGTGTTAACACTGGTGTTATCCACATCTTAACACTGTAGGAACCTCATTGTGCCGTATAAGGTTCTCCATTACATACATGTATCCCTTGATGGAATTTGAGGGTGACGACTGATGTCTTTGGCACGCGCCCCTCCCCCTAACGTGTTTGATTTATGACGAAGCTGAGCCCGCCAGAGGGCCCAAGCGCGGTCCCGTCCGAGGTCAACGAGTCAATTCCCGTTATCCTCTCGAATCACCGTGAGTCACACGTCCACTTACTGTAATGTCTTGTGAAAACACGCCGGCGCACAGATCCTGAGACTGGGGCCCTGAAGTAGCTCCCTCTCCCTGCACGAGCGAGTGCGGATTAGAAGAATGCAAAGAATCCACTTCTAACTGTTTAAAACTTGTCATCTCCCATCTGTGCGGAGGGATTTATAGAAGGTGCAGGGTGCTCCTCGTGTCCCGTGTGTCTCACATAATCCCTTCAAGGCTCAGATAACTCTGTATTTGTTTTCACTCTCGCATAACAGCGAGGGGGACTTGTGGGTCCACACTCAGATAGAGTTTCGTGACTTTCCCTGAAATTTTTCATCAAATGAAATGCAATTATAGCGCAATCTCTTTAATTGTTCGTATCGATAGGCCGGGTTCATCGGAATGATTTGAAGCTATAACAGCATTTGCAATCGGATCGGTTTGTCCGGCGACGGTTCGAGGCCTTCCACACTCGCCGTTATTTCCCCGTGGAATAGTGAGAGGCCTCTTTATTAATGAACGCTCGAGACAGAACTGTCAGTGTCTCATTTCAACTTGTTTTTCTTGTATTTGTCTTCCTTTCAGACCTAATGTCTGCGGGGGTCAGCAGTGCTGCTCAGGCTGGGCTGTGGCACCAGGAACCAATCGCTGCATAAAACGTAAGTAATAAAAAGTAGAATATCCCGTGTAAGTATTTCATTTATATACAACAATCCTAAATGTTCTTTCATTCAGCCGCTAAGGGCGACAATTTCATTCTTTGCAAACTAAGGAAATGCACGACGGTGAAGTGTTGAAGTGGCACACGAGTTCACTGAGATGCTTCGTTACAGCTTTTAAAGTAAACATTTCTCAGACAGAGAGACACACAGACTGAAAACCACCAGAGTGAATTTCTACTAATGACAATCCTGAGATCGCCCCATGAAAGTTTTCCTATGGTGTTGTTGGCCCATGCTTTTCCTTTTTGTTTAAGATCTCCACGTTTTAAATTGCCATCGTTTTGCAGTTAACTCTCTATTTGACACAAGCCCTTAATTATGGGTGGAACTGCTTTCTTCTTTTATTTGACCACAGCGGTGTTGGATTTCCTAACTGCCAGATAATTAAAAGAGAAATAGAAGACGTCGTCTGGGAATGAATAATTGGCCACTTATTCTTCAACTCGCATACAGACAGTCTTATCATTAAGCTATTCTTAATAAGGTGCCAGATATAATACAGAAATCAAGTAAGTAAAGTCAAATGTATTCATGGGGCTCCCTTTAGACACTTTTTTTTTTTTTTGCATGTCATGTTTCACTTCACCTTTGCGAAAACCTTCGTTAGCTCCGTGCTGATTCAGCTTTATCTATAAATTTAACGAGGGAGGTAAAACCCACACGGCAGCTGTTATTTTCCATCCAGCAGCTAGCGAGCGAGCTACACTTCTGTTTTGACCTGTTTACTGTTTTCTCTGTACCTCTCTGCTAATTATGTCCCTCTCTCTCTCACACACACACACACACACTCACACACAGTTGATACACATTTCTGCCAGTCGATTACACAACGAGCTGATTGGCCCCGTCAGGCCCCTAATTAGATCTGCTCCCCTCCGGCCACGTTCCCCCATTTATTTCTCAACTCCCGGCTAAATGCAGCACTTACCAAGGTGTGAATTGCATCTAATGCGGAGCGGCGGCTCCTCAAATGAAGCGGGTAAATGCAGAGAGTAACAGGTCTAACATGGCCGTGTTAAACAAGCCGCTGCATCTGTGCGGGTCAGGGGTCCGTCCAACCATCTGGACCCTCTTACCTCTTGGCCCCCCTCCCAGGTCTGCTATCGTCAGCTGAGCGAAAGCCCCACGGCCGGCAAGGTGCCAACACAAAAGGTCCCAGACTGGATCTGGGACTGGAAGCCCCCACGTGGAAGACCTCCGTGGAGGAGAACAGGCTCAGGCCATCTTTACTCTGCCCCCGCCTGAGGGGCCCGGCCGCTTTATTAGGAGATTGGAAGCACGAGAAAAACATGTTCCCAGTGGGGCAAAGAAAAGGAACAAACGTGTCGGCTGGAGGCAAAAACACATCGAGGCTGAGCTGCTTCTAGGAGAGCCTCGCTGAGGGGATGGAAGTGGTCGGCCGGAGGCTTCGCCCCGCGGGGGCTGGATTGGGTGTTCAGTTATAGGAGGGTAACAATACGTCCTTGTTGGATTGGTATGAGCTCAGAGGAAACGAATGACAGGAATTGGGCCTACGTGTCTTTAGAAATGTGTTTATGAAACGGTCTCCGTGGGTCTCCGTGGGTCTCCGTGGGTCTCCGTGGGTCGGGTCGGGGGCGGTTGTCTGGCTCTGTGCAGCCGGCGCTCTGCCCACGTCCTGCCAGTTGACTCTCTCTGTCTCTTTGGCTTCAGGGCAGATGATTAGCAGACTTGTGTGTGTGTGTGTGTGTCAAAGTACATTTTGACAGTGTTGACCAATAGAAAGCTTTGATCCAGAACACTGCATTTCCACTGCTGATGTTTATATCTCTTCCAGTTAAGTTATTCGCTGTAACTGGAGATAAATCTTCACAGGTTTTACGCAACCAATACAGATTTTATTAATGGGGTCTGAGGGCCGATGGTTCCTTCTACTTGCAAGCAGGTGCTCCCGTCAAGAAAAATGGGGCATCTTGTGTGGAGGTTCACAGATGCTCCTTTAAAAGCATTGTTGAGGAGATGTTAACACCGTCCTGACACATGAAGGTGCGTCACTGAGACATCACAACCGTCCTCGCTGTGGGAATCCACGCAGCAATCGAAAAAGGAGAAAACAGCATTTTGTTTACATGAATGGGCACAACAGATTTCTGTTTACTTTCTTATCTGTGGCGTTAGTGTTTGGCTTGCTTCAGTGTAGATACAGTAACCCCCCGCTGAGGTGTCTCCTACGTCACCGCCGAATTTGAAGCTTTGCTTTACAACGTTTCTTGGAGGAAAAACAATTAAAGAAAGACCTCTTAAGGCCAGCATTCCATCTGCTCTTCTCATCTTCACCCCTTTGAATGGTACCCGGCTGCTGGCTGATGCTTGGACCGGTTACCTGGAGGCGCATCGACCGTCTGAGCTAAACGGGGTCTTCTTTTGGCGAGCCAAGAAGAAGACCCCGTTTGAGAAGCTGAGCTTACTTCAGACACGGTTTGGCTTTGAGCTCAAGTCGACACTGTTGAGCAGATCAGTGTCACATCTTCTTTTTTTTTTTAGCGGGCAAATACTAGCAAGTCAGCACAGTGTGATGTTTGTTCATAAACATTCATTTAGAAGGCGACGTCACCTCTGTCGCATCGGAAATCCATCCAAAGAGGAATGCTGGGTGTCGGCGTCGCTGGTCATGTTGTGTTACTCGTGCTGACGGACAGGAACTGGCTCAGTCTCAAGACATTTTCAGTCTCCAGAGCACTTTGGTGATTGACAGAGGGGTTTTTCTCTCTTGATTGCCCTCCAGCTTTCTTTGGCCTGCTGCGGCGCTCAGGGCCTCGTCCCAACCCTGAAATAACTCATCCCCTCTCTCTCTCTCTCTCTCTCTCTCTCTCTTGCTTACCTCCCATCACAAGGTACCTAAACAAACAACATGTGGCTTCTTCCTTCCACCACGTCCCCGGTGTAGTTTGAGTAGGATGGAGGAGCGTCGAGGGGTGAACCCGGCTGTGCACCATTACTTTTCATGTCAACGACTTAATGAAATAACATCATCGTCTGAGCGAATGTGTAAAATCAACCCGTCTGCGGGTATTTGTTGAACCTACGTCGCCGTTGATCTTGGATCGTCGGTGTGAATCACGTTTGATCCTTCTCCTCTGCTGCGACATGTGCGAAGCAGCTGGTAAACTGGGGAGGACGTACACGTGTGAACGTTTTCTGACCTCCAAAACAGTACCCCGAAAAATGCCGCTTCACCTTCTTCCCCTAATAGATACAGGCCGTCTGAGGTGGACGCGATAAGAGGCGGTTCCTCTGGTGCAAGTGTGCAGCTTTGAGTCTGAAAGGAAGAGTTGGGGGTTTTGATTAAGTTCCCGATGAGTATGAGTAGTATCTCAAATGACGAGAAATATACAAAAAAAAACCTTGGAAAGACAGAGAAAAGAGAGACTTTCACAACGAGAACCATCCCCTCTGAGCCGAGTCCTCAGCTTTACAAGAACAGGAGGAGTTTATTTATTTTAGTGTTTCTGTTGCCTTCGTTGGGCTGGAGTTACAGCAGCGAGCCGTCCTCGGCTTTGTCTTGTCGGGTGTGGATTTGTAGGGGTTGCACAGTTCACGGTCCGGGGGGCACAACACTCCCCAGGCGGCCCCGCCGAGAGTTATGGCCCATTGGACAGATCCTGTAATCAATACACACCCCCATCGGCCCCCAAAAGCCATCATTAACATTTAGGCCGGACAACCAGGAGTGCTGCGCTCTGGGCTCCAGCTGCTGCGTCTGTTTGTAGGTTGCTATTAGGTCCTGTTTAGGCCCCCCCCCCCCACCCCCCACCACACCCCCGCGCCACAATGTTTTTCTAATTGCTACCGTGGACCACAGATGGGTGAAAAAAGATGGACTGAGAGCGTTTGGACCTCCACGTCTTTCTGTTTGTTTTTTTTGGGGGGGTTGTTTTCACTTCTTCATTTGGTGAGCTGCTATAACACGGACATAATGAAGAAGCAGAACAAACTGGGCCAGAGGAATTTAATTCCCTGCAGATCTTCCCCCGGCGGTAAAGCCCAGGAAGCGAGACGTGATTGACACTTACAAAGCGAAATTAACACCCCCCCCCCACCCACCCCTTCTCCTTCCATCAAAAACACGCTGGCCATCCCGCCGTATATCACCCCCCTCGTGCTCAAAGAGCATGTGGAAAATGTTGGGCCGTGATCCCCCCCGGGAGGACGGGGGTTTTGGTGAACACCGCGTTCACCAAACAGATTTACAAGCCGCCCCCGAATCCAGATATCCTCCTGAGAGCAGCGCAGCATGTGGCTCACTGGGAGCTCGGCGTGGGGGTCTCAGGGGGCTCGAGGCGGCGTCGTGGGTCAGCAGGAGGTGGAGCAGGGCGGAGGAGGGTTAGGAGGTTCATGTATTGGACCATGGAGCCCATACTGGAATATACACAGGTTCTACCCACAATATTAACACAACTATAGAGGGAGGGTGTCGCATCCCGCCGGTTCCGTTGGCAAAAAGCAAAAGGGAATTATTCATTTGATCTGATCGGATTATTGCTGAAAATAAGCTCTGTGGTGAACAGTTTACATGAAATATACTTCAAAGATGAACCCAAGTCTTGAGACTTACAAGTGCAGAAGTAAAAAGCTGAGAGTAAACCATGAACGAACTGCACCACGGTCACATGAGCTCACGGCTGTCAGCGGACCGGTCGACGTCAGCACTTTTGGTAGTTTAGCCTCTTGTTAGCGCTTTGAAGCTTACAAATTCCCTCCCAAAAAGGTGTTGACAAGGGAGACAAGGGAAGGGCAAAAAACGCTCACTCGTTTCCAGGTTTCAGACACATTCCTGCGCCACCCGATCATGACCCTTGGATATAGCCACACTTATGGCTAAGTTGCTGCAACGCTAATTTCTCCAGCAGTTTTGTCTTTTGTCTTTGGCTTCCCGGCTTCCCGTCTCTCAGTTACAGCGTTGAAAGGGCCGTTAGTCGAGCCTTTCGTCATATTCCCATGAATAATGGCGCATGATCTGCTCCGCGGGATTATGCTTTCACCGTCAATATTACTTTCAGAAATGTCAAGTTACCCCCCCCCCGGTAGCTCGGTTGACCTGCGTGAAGTGAGGAGATTTCTCTACATGTTTGTGTTTCGTCAGATATTGGTTTCGAGTTTCCCCTCGTTGAATGAAAGGACTGTAAAGACTTGATGGCTTGTGTTACTCTGAGTCAAAGGGAGGGAAAGTAGAATCTCTGGTGGATTGTAATGGGCTGGAAACGAGCTCCAGGTAGGAAATTAGAGTCCAGTGGAGAAGGGGGGGGGGGTGATTTACCCACAATACACACACACACACACACATGCAAGCCTATGCTCATAACAGGTAACTGTAACCCACGATGGACAATATTTACCCCAATAAAGACCCCGGGGTTACTTTAATATACGTACAGTATTACAGTGCGATTGCTTCGAGTCCAACCAAGAACTCAATGACTTAGTTTTACAGTTCATATTAAAAAAAGGGGGTTATTTAGCTCCCAAATGAATGTGTTTTTTGTAGGAGAATGGAGTGGCCGTAGCCGCGAGCTCTTCATTTAGACCTTGTTGAGTTTATGTGTCTTAACTCTGACAGGACGGGAAGGAGCGGAAAAAAAAGCACAGACCTCAAACTCACTTAAATATGAAGTTGAAGCTATTTTAGCGAAGCCCAAAGAGAGAAATGTTTCCATTTGGATAGTTTTAAAGTCGTATTACTGATTGCTTCGGATCCCCGTGTTTGTTTGGAGGGTTCAAAGCTGCCAAATACAGTCTCCTATTTTCAGACGACTGGTTTCTGCACACAGTCTCCCCGAACTTGGCCGGTCCGCCTTGCTCATAATTAAGGCTGAAGTGGCAATGCCAGGAATGCTCGCCGTTTCTCCTCTTTTATTTCCGACGGATTCCCGTTTCATCGTTACTCGCGCGAAGCAATAATTGCCGCGCATATTTGCGAAATGGATGGAATGTGAGCCAATTAGTTTTAATGATGTGCGAGACAAATCTGCATGACAGCAATTACCGCGACAATGTGCTCGGCGGCCCCCGAGGCGGCGCAGACGGGCCCCCCGAGGCGGCAGATGCCTCCTCCGCCGGGAGGGCGAAGGCCGAACGTCAGTCCTGTGCCTCGCCGCCGAGGGTCACTGAGCCCGGGCCGGGCCGGTTTGCTTAAAGAAGGCGGGTTTCGCCGCGGTTCTTCAGCCCCTTCGGCGTAATGGGACTGGAATCCGCGGGCCCGTCCGACGCGCCGCTTCTTCCCAAAGCTTGAAGTTGAGCAGACTCCGGTCGAGGCGGTGGCACCGGTCCAGCCTGTGCTCGACTTAGACGATGGATCTTACTCCTCGCCAAACAGAGCTCAGGCTCAGTCCTGTTTTATCCCACGATGGAAAATTCGGCTCACAAACCGAGTTATACAGTTATCCGGAACCGCATTTCTCTAAATGTGTATTCATCCAAAAAAAAAAGGGGGGCTACATTTTCCCCAAGAGCAGTTTAAACGAAATGCTTGAACAAATTGGTGTTTCTAAATGTGATTTGCTTTGCCGTAAAGCAGAAGATTCAATTTGTTCGTTTCTCCCATTGTGGTCTCTCAGCGGGCCTTTTCGCGATCCAAGAGCCCGACGCCGTCCCGTTTCCTCGCGTTCGAGCTCAAAAAGGAAGCGGCAGTCCGAGCCGGGGCGGCGATAACAGGTGCGCCGAACCGCCAGCGCTGGTCGCCGCCACCAGCCGCGTCCTGCGATCCGTCCGCGGCAACAGCATTCCCACGCGGCCCCGTCGAGACAAGAGGGCCGCTTGTTCGCTGTAGCCGCCGCCGCCGGCCCACGGCGGGGGCGGGGTTTACCGTCTGAGGACAACGTCGTAAATCCGCGAGCGCCGTCTCCACGACGTGCGTCTGTGTCACAAGATGGTGACCATAAAATGATCTCAGCGGTGTGTGTGTGTGTGTGTGTGTGTGTGTGTGTGACTATCGATAAACACCACGCCAGCATTCGTCTTTTAACTCCGGTGAGCCGCTTCAGATTTAGTTGATTTTTCAAATAAAGTACAGCGGTCACTTCTTTGATGAAGTGTCAGCTATTTACAGTTGGCCTTCGGTTTTTCCCATTCGCTCATGTTTTTATGACCTCTTACTTTTATTACCTTTTCGAGCTTCCTGTGTTAGAGTGAGAGCACATGCTGATTCCGACTGCAGCGCAGTGACGAGGGATGTTTTCAGGAAACCGCTCCGCGTGGAAACACCGGCGGCACTGAACCCGCGGTACAGGCTTCACCTCTGCGAGAGAAATTGGATGAGGATTTAATGCAAGTGATGGTAGACATTTGGACTAAACGGGGCAGTTAAAGGCCGGAGAGAGATGGAACATGACAGCCGCCCCAGGCTCTCCGCTGAAGGAAGAGGACGGAGCGGGTGGAAACGTGAAACTAATGGCTCCATGATTGAATCAGTTTAAAGTGGGCCCGGTTTGGGGGGGGGGATCAGGGATCCGCTGCTACTGCTGCTCCTCTTAAGAAGGGGGCTCGTGCTCTAACTTGACCCGACGTAAAGCTCCATCTGCATCTGTGCTCTCTCTCTCTCTCTCTCTCTCTCCTCAGCTGACTGCCAGCCGCCCTGCCAGAACCGCGGCTCCTGCAGCCGGCCGCAGACATGCGTGTGCCGCTCGGGCTTCCAGGGGCCCCGCTGCGAGGAGGTGGCTCCGGAGCAGGTGTACGTACGCGACGGAGGCGCCCTGAGGCGCGTTCAACCGGGGAGCAACCCTTTCCAGAAGGACCAACCGCGGAGGAGGCCCTCCGAGAGGCCGGCCGCCGCCGCCGCCGCCAAGGTCCAGACCCCGCGACCGGCGACCACCAGGCAGCCCGTGTAAGTGAAGCGGCTCCGGGAGGAGCCTCATTGCTTTGCCAAATAAAGATGGGTCAACAGATTGCAACTTTAAATGATGGGCCGGTCCGAACCTTTCTAGTTGGTGGACGTCAGCGGATGACGAGCTAACGGCTAACATGCATTCTCTCTAATGGCCAGCAGGGGGTCCTTTGGTTGCAAAAAATGAGTCGGATTGTATGGAATGTCCCACAATCCTTCTAACTCGATTTATTACCTCAGTAAACATTGTGAACGGGAGTTCATGGTCTCAATCAGTAGCTTCAAGTCATGTAATAAAATAGAAAGGAGAAATCCCGTTCTGATGCCATGACACAGTGATCTACTACATTGTACATTTTACTACTAACTACATATGTTGAAAAAGCTTTTTCAATATGGTATCCAGTATTTTGAGGCTTTTGTGGCTCTCTAATATTTTTTTGCCACCATTGCCGACACACAGGAAGGCTGACATGAAAATAAGTGGACAAAGTGCACTATTAGAGTTGATTTACACACTCTTGAAACAACAGTAGTTCATTAAGCTCCTGTTCAACGCTGGTTGTGTTTATTTTTGCAATAAATCAAACCAGATGAATGGGTTCACAGGTTAAATCTCTAATACACTCAAAGCTAAACAAATAAGCACTTTTCTGCCATTTGCTGCCACGCTTGAAAAGGTAAATCTGCGAGATGTAGGAAAATGTAACGTGATTTACCAGACAGGAGTATTAACAGAGCTGGGGGTCTATATTTTCTTTAGCGTTTCCCTTTCTTCTTAGATTTCTTGGACTAACTGTGACGTATCCCACTAATAATTGCTCCGACGAAGGCCTCTTTCAGCAAACTTTCCAAAGGCCGCTAATCAGACGGCCTAACGGCTCCTCGGCTTTTTAACGTCTGACTCTTTTAGTTCCATTCGTTTGGGAAATAACTTTTCGGTTTGACTAATCACGTAACCGTGGCCGGAGTGCGAGCACGTTTTCCATCATGCGCGTTGAAAGGCAGTAATTGTTCTGACGGATCGCTGTCGCTCACAGGTTCAGACTTATCGTGTCAAAAACGCTGCTGCATTTTGAATCCAGACGCAGTGTTTTTTCTCATCTGCCCGCAGGCGGTTAAAGTGCCATCATCTGTTTGCGCGCCGAGGTCTTTGTTCACTATTTAGCCAGTTTGTCGTTTGTCTGTAATTTCCCCCCCCAACAAAACCACCCAAACATTCTCAACCACCTCCGACATCGTCGGCGCTCCTCCTGCTAATTCCGAGGGCCTCTTGTGTCATCTGTGCTTTTGGAACCACGCTGCCTGAGCCGTCCACATGTTTGTGGTAGCTCAAGGAAAGTCTTAATAAATATTTTGGCGGATGGTTCTTGAAAGGGTTTCTGTGTACGTCCTCCTTCCCAAAACAATTATATCGCATTTATCGTAAATCTTCTAATCAACACAAGACATTCGGGGACTGGCGCAGTTGCTACGCATGTGTTGTCTTTGTTCTTGACTCACAGGACATTTCTGTGTCCTGAGTCACCGATCCGGGACGAATCGAAAAGAGACGATGGTGCAGGTCGGCCGCCGTAGGAGACGGACAGCGCCCCTGAGTCACACATGCGCCGCGCCGCGGCCGCGTCTGCCCCTCCCCGAGAGGGGCTGTTAAGTTCCATTTGGAGCCGCTTGCCTCTGCTGGGCTGGAATTCTTCTTATCTTATTATTTGTTCTTGTGATCCACAGATTTTTTAAAATCTGAAGAACAAAATAAAAGCCTCTGCCAAAATAGTGAAATGTCACCCTTTAAAGATTATTCCAAGGACTATTTGAATACTCGCGGCGGGCTATTTGAGTGCTCGTGTCATCCGCATGTGAAGCTCGGGCCCTCGCGAGAACCGCCGCAAATGTTTCGCATTTTCTCGGCACGGAGCGATATTTTAAGGGCGGAGCGGCGTCCCTCCAGGAGAAGTGATGGATGCGATGGTCGGTTTCACATATCACGCTGGGCTTCCAGCAAAGTGAGGCTCGGCAAGAGCGACGGCACCAGTGCCAGAGCCCAATTAAGGAGCAGAAAGAGGAGCGCGGAGTACAGACGGATTGCTCGTGTTGGTCTTGCCCCCACGAGGACACTGAGGGAGCAGAAACTGTAGCGTGCAGCTGCAGCGTCCTTTCATTTTCCTCCTCCCGAGAAGGTGTGAGGTAGTATATATGTCTTTCTTGGAGCGGACTTGGCTTGTTATGTCAGCGGCACCCCGTTACCGACCCGGCCTGTCAAGGGGCGCCAGGAACAAGAAATAGTGCGGGGAAGGAATGAGACGGACAAGGAGGGAGGGAACGAAAACAGCGATAATAAGAGAAAGCATCAAGTGAGAGAGAGAAAGTGAGCAAGGCGAGGAATTCAGCCTATAGTCTGAAATCAGTTCCTACTGCCCACCGTCCCGTCACCTCTGGGTCACAGCTGGAAAACCCCTGTGCAACCAATGGCTATATGGAGAGATTAAACTCTCCACTCAACACTTAAAGGCTCGATGGGTGAACGTTTGAACAAGCTTTCTTTCTGTTGTCACGGCAAAATGTGAAAAGGCCGTTCAAACATTAAGGGCCGAGTCAAACATTAAGGGCAAACACAGTTCTTTAATAGCTAAAAATGTGACAAGCACTGCCATGTCATCCGTCCCGCGGGGCCACGGCTGCCTCCTGAAACGCCGTTTTTACAGAATCAGCTATTTCCTGAACGGTCCCACTGAATGAATCCAGCACATTTGAGAGTGACAGCCTGGAATAGAAGTCACGTCGCGATGGACAAAACATATGAGGAGCCGGTGTGTTTCTGGGACATGGATATACGACTCCTTCGCTCTCCTCTCGCAGTAAGCCCCCCACCCCCCCCCAGTCCTCCACCTCTCCTCTGACCATTTCAACCGCGTCCCCGACGTCCCAGCTGCCTGTTCTCTTCTATTAAAACGGTTTCAATTTTAAAACAGGTAAATCCTACCAGCAGCTGGCCAACGGATATCTGTTTCCTCCTCTGGCCACTTGCGATTTACTGTAAAGCGGCGTTTCCTGTAAAGGGCTCGTCCCTGTCAGCGCCAGAGATGCCGTAGATCACGGCGAGGTCAGGGCCGGCCTGGCAGGAACAGCGTTAACGCACAGAGGGGGGGTGGTGTTCGACCACCTCCCAGTCCGCCGCATCCACTCCGCGGCCGCTCTTGACACCCGTCCTCCTCTGCAGGAAGCGTCTCTCGCTGTTAGATAATCGTCCTCGCGGCAGCTGGCAGCAGCCACCTGGACAGCAACTGTGCTACGAGCGGATTGTTTAGCCCGAGTTTACGACGAGGAGGATTTTAGTCGAGTCGCAGAAACAAGAGTTTGTAGTTAGAGACTCGATTGAAGCCAAAGTTCCACTTTTATGTCCCAACTGGAAAACGTGATGATATTAAAAAGCAATGATGGTTCCCGACGTGTCGCCCGCGGTAACCGCGTTTCAATTTTGGGGAAAGAAAGCAAGCGTCGGATCGATGATTATCGCCACCGGTTCTGTAATCGAAGCGCCTCAATGTCTCGGGCCCATTAAAGCAATTACTACGCCGCGATTCTGACACGGTGAACCTCGCTCCGGAGGGCGATTACACATTTGGTCGCACCCAGTAACGTGTTGCCTTGTTGGAGAAAAACACTGGGCGACGCGGAGGCGAACGACCCTGGAGAGGGCGACGCGTACGCCTTCCTCTGCATTCACTGCGCTTTTCATCCCAGCTGTTTCCCTGGAGAGGGGCCCGGCGGGGGCCGGCAGCTGTGTGGCGCGTTGACTTTTGCCAGCCAGACGAAGAATAATGTCGTCAGCCGTCTGTAATAGGGGACGGGAGTAGCACGAACCCCACACTTTGTCTCTGATCCGATAAGTGCGTTCTATACATATATATCTCACCCTTCGGCCCCGGGGGGGACGTGTTCCCAGTCTACCACCTGGTCTACTCAAAGAAGACGTGTCCAGAATCGTCCTCTCGTCTCCCTTTTTTTTTTCCCCCGAGTCGGATTGAAGTAGAAACGAGGGGTCAAAGTGCAGGCTAATTCCCGCGAGGTTGAATGTGAACAGAGCTCGATCTCGCTTATGACAGAGTGTCTGTGATTCGTATCCGTGTGACGGCAGACTGGGAATCAGCTTGAACGAGGTCATGCAAACTGGCTTTCTGCTTTTGGATTGCAGGCGTGTTTGTGTTTAGTTTTGGTCCCGCAAGCCCTTTCCTTTGCACTGATCCCTGGTCCCCTGTGTCTTTGCACTTGTGATGTGATTAGCATAGGGCTTTCCGGAGCACGGCTGCACATCCTGTGCCACGGTTTGTGTAGTTTTGAGGCGGGGGGGGGGATATTGTGTACCGCTGTGCTACTGTGGGCCAACAGGTCAAGTGCAGACTTTGTCCTCAGGTGAACTCTCCACTGCGTGACCAATGATGGTAGCAGATCAGGAGTTTGTTAATTAGCGTGTTTAGATGTGAACGTGAGCAGGCTGGACGCGCAGCGATGTTGTCGCCGTGCCAGGGAGAGTTTGTGTGTTTCTTTTCTGCAAACAGAGCCAAACGAGTCCCATGAGGCTTTGGCTTCCTGCTAGGCCAGAGGGAACAAAGGGCCATAGAGAGCTCAGCGTGGGACAGATATGTCTTTCTCTCACTCCGTCCCCGCTCTCCAAAGCCCCGTCCGAGAAACGCGCTCTCCCCACCGGCCCGCAGCGCCAACACACACTCGGCCAAGTGCTTCTCATCGGGCAGCTGTCGCAGGGCGCAAATACTGTACAAAAAGAGGCCCGTCTATCCCGGGATGCACTCCAGCTCCGGAGGTGAGGCAGATTCAGCGGGTATGCATGTTTCAGACCAGTGCAAATGTTCCCATAATCTCCTCTCTTGTTGGAAGCCCTCTTTGGCACAGCGTCGGAGGGCTCTGACACGTGACACTGACAAGCACGGCCTGAGTCAGCGCTATTTAATGGCTCTCCCTGCTGACCCGCCATGTGGCATTTT